TAACTTGCATATAAGCCTTCAAAATGGGCACTTGATTTTTCAAGTTTGAGTCCCATAGACTTGCAGCAAGTTCAAAGTTCGGCGTCCAAAATTCGAATGTTCGACCGTGAACTGAACAGGGGGGTTTTTGGCCCATCATTACTGCACAGTTCCAAGGCCAACACCACTTGGCAGAGCCAGATGTATGACACCAATGATCCTTTTAGCTGTTTATAAGGGTAGCATTCTGAACACTGGCCACCAATGTGAGGGACATTTTTCCCAATGACCCCAATTAATTGGTTTTTGTAGGGGCTAGTCGAGACCTTAAAAATTATTTTAAAACTCTGGGGCAAAGAGGTTGAGGAAAGTCATCCCTAGACTAACAGCATCACAATAACCATGAGATCTCCTTTACCTTGATGGTGTCCCTGTCACTGGGGTGAAGGACCAAATGAACTTCTTGAAGATTCTGTATTTTGTTATTGCAGCTAAACTGGAAAATCTCATCAAACATCACAAATGCCACCAAATCCTTTGGAAAGCTGAGATTGCCGGTTCCGATAGCTGGGAACGATATCGACGCCCGCCGGTTCTGCTCTGCCAGCGCCAAACAGTTCTTAGTAATCGTGCGAAGAATCTGAAACAGAGTCCAAGATTGAAGTGTAACCTGGGCAGGATTAAAAAATTTACATCATTCAATTAAAGGATTTATATAGATCCAACAGTTTGCGCAGCGAAGGGGACACAGTGCACTAACAAAACAATTCAAGAGAAGAGTTACTGATCCAATGAACAATTGTATGAGTGATCGAGGACTCTTGATGGATTGCATGAAGGTCAACTAGGTCTTGAATGCTCATGCAGATACTGCTGGCCAGTAACTCTCCAGATCCAACAATTAGCTTCTCTGCTCAGATTCACACAGAAAGTTCTATATTGAGTCCAATCAAGGTTCCTATTTTAACTGAAGCCATGAGGAAGGAGGAGTTTCTTTGACCCCCGAAAAGTGTTGGATTTTTTTTAGTACAAACTAATAAATAAATTTGGACTCTTATCCTTTGGTCTGGTGCTCCTTCCATTCGTGCCTTTTTTTCTTGTAACTTGCTAGGATACCCTTTTGGGTAGGTGCAGCATGGTCTGGTGGTAGAAAGCACACAGAGTACCAGTATGCCAACAACGATGTATTGCAGAATTTGTCAAACGATACAAACAGGCCTGGTGGGGCACTTACAACAGTTCAGAGAAGAGTCAGCAGTCTGTGGATCCCAGCTGTCACAAGGAGCAGTGCGGCCTTGCTGGTCCAACCCAAAGGGGGGCTTCCTTAAGAGGTAGATGTAGGCCCTACTCTTTCACTACTCCACTGGAACCTCTCCTCCTCTCCCTACCGCTAGAGCTGTCCCTGGCAGATAGATATCCTGTTCCTACACTAACCACTATGATAAATCGCACCAAAACCCGGGGACAGGGACTTAAAAAGACTGTGCATGACCCAAGATGACCGCCAGGGTCACCTAGATCTAACGCATCCAACCAAACCGGATCACTGCTCCAGGGGACCAAGGAGGTCATAGAGAAACCTAGCTTCTCCTGACTTCCTCCTCCAGTTGCATTGCTGCTATGGTCAAGCGCCACCTGCAGTGGAGACTGTAGATTGCACCAGCCTACAACCCACTGGAGGGGTACTCTGGTCTGTTGTGAGGTGCCTAACCTGAGCCAATGAGCTCTTCACGTGTTTTTGCCCTCTCACTACTTTGTATGAAGTCACATCAAAGCCCCAGCACTTCTAGGATGCTTTTTTTCTTACTGAAGACGTGATCACCTAGAGCAGGCATCACTAAATGGTGACCCGAACTGAGTGACAGTCCTATCTGGACCACTGCGGCTACTCCAGGTACCAGCCTGGGTGTCCTCCCTTGTGTCTTCCCCTCCTGTCCACTACCCCAGTCACCCTAACAGCAGGGCAGAGGGCAGGAGACCGGGCAGGTTTGGACAGAGGGCGCAAGCTACTCAACTTTTCAAGTTAACAAATTGGTGATTGGTTGCTAGGATGTTGGGCTGTCCTAGCAACTGATCATCCTCTTGTTAACATGCAAAGTTGGGCAGTTTCTGCTTGCCATCCAGACCTGCCCTATAATGAGCCGGGCCCTCTGATTCCTCCTGTACTGAATTGTATTGTCACTGTACTGTCTGCCTTCGTGTTGTACTGCGCTGAGCAAACTGTTGGTGCCATACAAATCCTGTCCTGCTGCTGTGTAAGGTAGGTCTGTGAGAGGCGGCTGTGATGGGAAGGGGGGATGTTAATTGGGTCCTGTGATGAGAAGGGGGGATGTAAAGGGGTCCTGTGATGGGAAGGGGGGATGTTAATTGGGTCCTGTGATGAGAAGGGGGGATGTAAATGTAAAGGGGTCCTGTGATGGGAAGGAGGGATGTAAAGGGGTCCTGTGATGGGAAGGGGGGATGTTAATTTGGGTCCTGTGATGAGAAGGGGGGATGTAAAGGGGTCCTGTGATGGGAAGGGGGGGATGTAAAGGGGTCCTGTGATGGGAAGGGGGGATGTAAAGAGGTCCTGTGATGGGAAGGGGGGATGTAAAGGGGTCCTGCGATCTAAAGGATACTAAGGAAACTGATGTAAAGGGTGAGGCTGTGATTGGAAGGGGATCTGTGATGTAAAGGACTGAGGACACCGATGTAAGAGGAGGGACTGTCATGTGAGGTTGTACCGAGCAGGGGCGGACTGACAGCTCATGGGACCCCCAGCAATAGGGGATCATGGGGCCCCTGTGTCCTTGCCCAAACTCAAAAAAGCCTATGAAAAAGGTACCAGGGGCATCTCATGGGGCCCCCTACTGACCCCGGGCCCTCAGGCAGTGCCTGAGTTTCCAAATGGTCAGTCCGCCCCTGGTACTGAGGACACCGATGTAAGAGGAGGGACTGTCATGTGAGCTTGTACCGAGGACACTGATGTAAGAAGAGGGACTGTCATGTGAGGTTGTACCGAGGACAGCGATGTAAAGGGGTGACTGTGATATAAGGGGGGCTGTGATGTGAAGTTCAGTACTGAGGACAACCAATGTAAAGTGTATGGAGATGTCATGCTGTCCGTCATCGCAGTCCCTAGCTACACAATATATTTCCCACCACACTCTGCAGGCCTGAAGGTACCGTTTCCGATGTCCAAGGAGGTTGTTAGTCCAGGGAGGGCTTGTCCGCTGTCCCATTGAGGGGCCACAACATGAAGAACCTCTTGGCAGTTGAGATTGCAGCTGCTGGTGCTAAACACGGATCCTGGGGCCCCCTGAGTGCCGAGACTTGCATTGTTCAGGAGTTGCTGCATATTGGATCCTGCCCGACTCAGCAAGGCTTTGGATACGGCACCATTATTCAGGTTCAGATCGGCTCCTACACTGTTCACAATGACATCATTTAGTGTGGTCGTCTGCCATGGGAAGAGATGACAAACATTACCAAGTGATATTCATCGCAGATATCATTTCCTGACTGGGGGGGGGGGTGAATTGGTTTGAATTTGTTCCAGATCCACAAAGGAAGAGAAACACAACATGCAAACCATTGTAGGTGCTTATTATGATAAATATGTGATTATGAATATCCTCCTTCTACTGTTATATTTCCTAATTTGGGCGTGAATGTACATCTGTACACTACACTGCGTCGGGAGGGGTCTCCAATCTATAGCCCACTGCAAGATTTTAGTTGGCCTGGAAGTATAGCCCACTGCCAAGATTTTAGTTGGCTCTAGGGTCAATGGCCACTCACATGTGCCTTTAGGTCAGCCTATGGTCTCTGCTTCTCCCCAACATCCTCTTCAGTCTCCAGAGCAGGTTCACCAGGGGGCACTCTGTTGGAGACTCTAATGTATGGGGGGAAATCTGTTGGGGTCTCTGATGTAAGGGGGCAATCTGTTGGGGTCTCAAATGTAAGGGGGGACTCTGATGGGGACCCAGACTTAAGGGGGGTCTCTGATGTAAGGGGGGACTCTGATTTAAGAGGGTGATCTGTTGGGGACTCTGATGTAAGTCTGGACTCTGATGGGGACCCAGACATAAGGGGGGACTCTGGTGGGGACTCTGATGCAAGGGGCAACTTTAATGGTAACTTCTGACCAGGGGTGGACTGACCATTCAGGCACTCTGGCACTGCCTGAGGGCCCGGGGTCAGTAGGGGGCCCATGAGATGCCCTTGGTACCTTTCATAGGCTTTTTTGGGTGTGGTTTGAGTGTGGATGAGGAGCCCCATGAACCCCTATTGCCCGGGGGCCCCATGAGTTGTCAGCCCACCCCTGCTTTTGACATTGTTTCCCTCTCAATTGACTACTATGGGCCTTTTCCATTGTCTAAATATTCATTATGCATTGCTATCTCATGTCAATAGATATTGATGACCTTGAGATGTATGCCATCCATGTCAAAGATGTAACATATTTCCCATCAATGGAGCAGAAGCAGCAATTTATTTTTGCCTTCACTTCTCTCATGCTTCTACTGTTGTCTGGGTCCAGGTGTGAAGATCCCCTTGATGTTCAGTGTAGGCATCACAGGGAGAGAAAATCCCCCAAAAGAAGAAACAAACACAATGTAAAAAAAATGTTTAAAAGTACATTTGAAAAGGTTAGAACCTAAGTGAACCTAAGTGAATTTTCATTATCGCATGCGATGTGTGGTCATGTGACTGACTTAACTCATGCGATTCGTGAATTGTGCCCATTGTCTGGGTCCAGTTGTGAAGATCCCCTAGTGTCAACGATGGTCACCATAATCAGAAAAAAATCTCAAAAGAAGACACAGACAGCATGAAAAACAGATTTGGAAAGTGTTAGAACCCCTCATGTTTTATTGCTGTCTGGGTCATCGCCGGTCAGATTCCCCTCGCTTCCTACCATCAAATGTGGACAGCAAGAAAGGTGAATTTTCCCCAACATACGCAATAAGAAAGACTCAATGCGTTCTAACCCTTCCTAACTCTATATGAATTATAAAACTCTTTGGTGGAGTCCCACTTTAGCAGGAAATGCTGGTGAATCTACATACCGAACAGTCCTCAATGTTCTTCTGAAGCAGCTTGATCTTCAGTCCTTCCTTGGTCACCACAGTGTTGTCATTACCTCTATTCACCGGTGCTGGTGGGTTCTGTGCCGCTCTTGTGACCGGCTGGGGTGCCATTGCTGTAGATGGCACAGCGCGCCTTTGGTTACCAAATTTGGCCTTTGTAACCTTGCAGAAAGCATTGACAGTTTCATCATTTATGTCCACAAGATGGATTCTCTGTAAAGTGCTCTGTTGTCCCGGCGTCTCTACGTAGTCCCGTATAGCTTCCACTATGTTTTCAACACATAAATTTAAGGGAAATCCAAAAATACCAGAACTGACGGCAGGAATCGCTATTGAACTGTGACTCTTCTCGGAGGCCAGCTGTAAACTGGTGGTAATTGCCCTCCGTAGAAGCCATTCACATCTGGATTGTGAATTTGTGTCCCATCGGGGACCCACAGTATGTATTATTTGTTTGCACGGCAATTTCCCTGCGTCAGTAATTACTGAATCTCCAGTGGACAATCTGCCATATGTCCTGATAATCTGATCGCAGTCATCTTGGAGTTTACGTCCTGCTGCATCCAGAATAGCTTTTGCCACACCCCCATTATGTTTCAGATCTTCATTGGCTGCATTAACAATGACATCTACGTTGTGACGGCACAGGTCATCTTTATATACATGGAGGGCCATTCCATTTGGAAGAGTTACTTGGAATCGGGATTTACCAGTTAGATCATTTTCTACATCGTTATCCTCTAAACATATCACACAATGGAATTTTTTCCTTGCGGTTGTAGCATGCACTTCTTCATTGACTCTATAAAACTTTTTGGCTCCCGGTTTCTCAATACGCAGAGTATCACTGTGAAGTGAGTGCAGAATGATCTTAATGACATTTTCTGCCTCTTGAACCTTCACCCGCGGACCCGACAGAGATATGCTGTTCTGGTTCTTTGTTACGTTTAAATTTTTCTTTATCTTCTCCAAAATCTCCTTCTTTTCCTCCCAAATGAACGTCATCTTTGTTGAAGGCTGAACTGGAATTTCTGTCTCTATAGTAGTGTTCTTCTCCAGAAAGTCGCTGACTTGTTGGTAACACTTTAGAACATTTGAAGTCAGGCCGGCGATGACCACGTTGTCCTCCGTTCCAGAAGAAGATTCCTCTATCAGGACTGTGATTTCCTTTGCATTAGATACCTGAAGCAGATGTGACTGGAGACTTCTCCACTCAGGAGATTTCAGAAGACTTTTGTCTTCAACTAAAAGTTGTCTGTGAAGCAGTTTTTCCGTAATTTGCTTTTCTGCTGCAGTCAAGTCTTCCTTGGAATGAGCCATCAGTCTAACAATGTCATCCTCAATTTCCAGCAGTGCGTTAATGTTGTGATGCACAAAGAACATAGAGGACAGCTCCTCGTTATCGGTGGATTTCAGGAAACTGATGAGGTGTGGGTTCATCTGGATGGATTTACTCTTCATTTGTTGTTTGATGTTGAGTAGCTCACATTTGGCGGTGAGCACCTCATCTCTCAGTCCCGATAGACAGGCCTTCTTTGTTGGCACGTCATAGTCAATCCTCAGCTCTGGAACCTGATCCAGGATCTGCTTCTTCAGGCCGTTGTTACACAAAATCTGATAGAAGACTGGAGACATAGATAATGTCTCAGTCTTAGTTTCTTTCTTTCTTTGTACTTGTTTAGCAGTTTTCTCTACAAGTTGTCTGAATGTCGGGTCAATCTTTGTAACATCCTTGGACATTCCAGCCAAGAAAACTTTCTCTAAACCAAAGTCAGGTTTGATGAGGACTTCATCATAGGTGGAGCTGCTGACTTGTTCTCTAATAGCTTCCCAGACTGACTGATCCATTTTTTATACTCTACTACTCTGAACTTTGATATGAGAAGTGAGAATTCGTTATAAACCTCTTCCTTCCATTTCGGTACAATCTTTGCCACAGACCTGCGATGGGTGGTCAAGGTAGGAGGGAAGATGAGTTGAAGGACAGGATTCTGGCAGTCTTGATTTGGCCATTTGATCTCACAGTGCTTATTCTTCATCTTCACATCTATGTTGTTCTTTTGTCCTTCATTATTACAGATATGTTGCAGTATGTATGGACTGATATTAAACTCTATAGGCTTTGGTATTTCTATACAAGGTCCATCCTTCCCATACAGTGTAATATCCAACAATGGGTAGTAAGGGTATACGGATATCTTTTTCTTGGAAAACACATGATCCTTCTTCAAAACTCTTTTGACATCTGGAAGAGAAGGAAACAAGCAGAAGGTTCACAATGAGGCTTAACATAACGCACGGGTGACGCAACAATACAATGTAGTAGCTTAGTGGCTGTTGTTGAGGCTTTAGAGTAAGGTTACCATTTGTCCTCATTTACCGCCATCCATGACCTCTTTGTTTCCCGCTCCCTCAACCTCCTAGCGATTATGGAAACCTGGATCCAGCCCACTGACTCTACCTCCCCTGCTGCACTCTCCTACGGAGGTCTCACCTGGACCCACTCACCCAGGCCCAACGGTCGTAAAGGTGGTGGGGTTGGTCTGCTCCTGTCACCGCAGAGCATCTTCCGAGTTCTCCCAAACTCCCCCTCTCTATCCTTCTCCTCCTTCGAGGCCCACTGCATCCGACTCTTCTCCCCAACCCCCCTGAAGATTGCTGTGATATACCGGCCTCTTGGATCCATATCCCGCTTCCTGGATGACTTTTCCTCCTGGCTACCGTTCTTCCTCTCCTCTGAGCTACCCACCATCATCCTTGGGGATTTCAACATCCCTGTCAACTTCGACAACCCGGACACATCCCATCTCCTCCACTTAACCTCCTCCTTTGCACTTGCACAGTGCATACAATCCACCACCCACTCCTACGGTAATATTCTTGATCCTGTCTTCTCCAACCGCTGCGCTCCCCACAACCTCACTAACACCCCCTTCCCTCTCTCTGACCACAACCTGATTACCTTCTCTATCTCCTCGTCCTCCAACGCCTACCCCTCCAAATGTCACACTACTATCAGCCGTAACCTCCGCAACCTCAACCCTGCCCCCCTCCACTCTGCAGCTGATCAACTCCACGACAGCATCCTCCCCCTGTCCTGCCCCGACTTGGCTATGACTGCCTACAACACGCACTGTCAACAGCCCTTGATTCACTAGCGCCTTTAACCACACGCAACATCAGACCCCGACCGCTCCAGCCCTGGCAGACTGATCACACCAAAACCCTCAAACGACACAGTCATGCCCTGGAGCGACTATGGCGCAAAACCAAATCCCAACAAGCCTTCACCCGCTACAAATCTGCCTTCCACACCTACACCTCCTCCCTCCACGCAGCCAAACAAGCCTACTTCCTGACCCTCATCAAGGCCCTCTCCTCCAATCCTCGCCGACTCTTCTCCAACTTCAACTCTCTACTCTCACCACCCCCACCTCCCACCCAGCACCTCACTCACTGCCCTTGAGATTACCAATCACTTCAAAAACATGATTGACACAATTGCAAGGACATCGCCGCAACTCACACGCCCTCTCAACCCGTCCCTCTCTCACACAGCTACCCCCTCATCACCCCCTCTCCATGACCCCACCTGCTCTGACCTCCACTTCCACCCCACCCTACATTCCTCATACTGAAGCCCCCCCGCACCTTTGACCTTACTACCATCGAGGAAGTCTCCAAGACCCTCTCTGATGCCCCCCCGCCTCACCACCTGCCCCCTCGACCCTATCCCCCTCACAACTTCTACAACCTCCTTCCCCCTCCATCCTACGCTCCCTCACCCACATCTTCAATCTCTCCCTCTCCTCCGGCACTTTCCCCTCCCCTCTGAAACATGCACACATCACCCCCATACTTAAAAAGCCCTCCCCCTGACCCCAATGACCCGAACAACCTCAGACTTATCTCCCTGCTCCCATTTATATCTAAACTCCTCGAGCGCCTAGTCTACACCCGCCTAAGCTCTCACCTCAACGACAACCACCTCCTCGATCCCCTACAGTCCAGCTTCCGTCCCCTACACTCCACCGAAACCGCCTTACTCAAACTCTCCAACGACCTGCTAACCGCGAAAGCTAATGGCCACTACTCTGTGCTCCTACTCCTTTACCTCTCTGCGGCCTTCGACACAGTCGACCACCCCCTCCTCCTCAAAAAACCTACACTCCCTTGGCCTCAGAGATTCTGCTCTCTCCTGGCTCTCATCCTACCTATCACAGCGCTCCTTCAGGGTTGCCTATAACGCTACCCACCTCCCCCTCTCTCCCACTCGGTGGCAATGCCTGACCTCTTTCTGATCAGATTGCAGAGGAGCCTGCCCTTGGCCTGCATGTGGACTCACTCCCCTGAGGGTCTTTCCTATTTGTAGCGCTGACAATACAGTTTTGTTATTCATTATAATAAAATGGTAACGCCAAGTTCACCGTTCCTTTTCCAGAACTGCAGCGTTGGGGGCATAGGGTTTTTTTTTTTTGCTTTATGAGTGTATTATTATTATGGCCACTCCTACAGTCCTCCTACTCCTTGACCTCTCGCGCGGCCGTCGACACAGTCCACCACACCCCCCTCCTTCTTAATAAACTACACTCCTTTGGCATCAGAGACTCTGCTCTCTCCTGGCTCTCCTCCTACCTGTCACAAACGCTCCTTCAGCATTGCCTATAACGCTACCACCTCCCCCCTCACTCCCCCTCTCTGTTGGGGTCCCTCAAGGCTCTGTCCTCGGGCCCCTTCTCTTTCTCCATCTACACCTCCTCCCTTGGCCAACTCATAGACTCTCACGGCTCCAACTACCACCTCTATGCCGACAACACACAAATCTATCTCTCAAACCCCCCACCTCACCCCCTCAGTCTCCGCCCGAATCTCACACCTACTGAGCGACATATCTGACTGGATGTCGCTCCACTTCCTTAAACTGAACCTCTCCAAAACCGAGTTTCTTGTCTTCCCCCCCCAGCCCGGACACCACCCCCCATTGACTTCTCCATCACATCCAACAACGCCACCATCAAACCGCCCCACAGGCCAGAGTACTTGGTGTCATTCTGGACTCCAACCTATCCTTCCAGCCCCAAGTCCAATCTTTAACAAACTCATGCAGACTCCACCTCCGCAACATGCAGACTCCACCTCCGCAACATGTAGACTCCACCTCCGCAACATCGCCAAAATCCGCACGTTCCTAACCCCAGAAACCACTAAACAGCTCATCCACTCGCTCATCATATCACAACTCGACTACTGCAACTCTCTCCTCACTGGCCTGCCTCGCCGCTGGCTATCCCCGCTTCAGTCCATCCTGAATACGGCTGCCAGACTCATTCACCTTTCCAACCGCTCCGTTTACGCCACCCCCCTCTGCCAATCCCTCCACTGGCCTCCACTCAGTGTCCTCCACCCTCCTCTGCAATCCCTCCACTGACCTCCACTCAGTGTCCTCCACCCTCCTCTGCAATCCCTCCACTGACCTCCACCCCCCTCTGCCAATCCCTCCACTGGCTTCCGATTGCCCAACGGATCAAATTCAAAATCCTAACACTGACGTACAAAGCCGTCCACCATACTGCCCCGAACTACATCACTGACCTAATATCCAAATACCACCCAACACGCACACTCCGCTCCTCACAAGACCTCGTTCTCTCTAGTTCCCTGGTCTCCTCCTCCCA